AAAAGTGCATCTGTCCATCATAAAAGTGCATCTGTCCGTCATAAAAGTGCATCTGTCCATCATAAAAGTGCATCTGTCCATCATAAAAGTGCATCTGTCCATCATTAAAGTGCATCTATCCGTCATAAAAGTGCCTCTGTCCATCATAAAAGTGCATCTGTCCATCATAAAAGTGCATCTGTCCATCATAAAAGTGCCTCTGTCCATCATAAAAGTGCATCTGTCCATCATAAAAGTGCATCTGTCCATCATAAAAGTGCATCTGTCCGTCATAAAAGTGCATCTGTCCATCATAAAAGTGCATCTGTCCATCATAAAAGTGATTCTATCCATCATAAAAGTGCATCTGTCCATCATAAAAGTGCATCTGTCCATCATAAATGTGCATCTGTCCATCATAAAAGTGCATCTATCCATCATAAAAGTGCATCTGTCCATCATAAAAGTGCATCTGTCCATCATAAAAGTGCATCTATCCATCATAAAAGTGCATCTGTCCATCATAAAAGTGCATCTATCCATCATAAAAGTGCATCTGTCCATCATAAAAGTGCATCTATCCATCATAAAAGTGCATCTGTCCATCATAAAAGTGCATCTATCCATCATAAAAGTGCATCTATCCATCATAAAAGTGCATCTGTCCCAGGGTTTCCGTTGTCCGGTAATTACCGGACATTGGCCGGGAAAAAAATGAAATGTCCGACAAAATTAAATCTCTCCGGTCAAATTGGGTGGTGATGGCGCAGTGGATAAGACACATGCCTTTGGTGTGAGAGACCCGGGTTCGAATCCACTGCGAGACACCAATGTGTCCCTGAGCAAGACACTTAACCCCTAGTTGCTCCAGAGGCGTGCGACCTCTGACATATATAGCATTTGTAAGTCGCTTTGGATAAAAGTGTCAGCTAAATGAATAAATGTAAATGTAATTGGAAATGTAAATGTAAATTGTCCGATTAAACTTGCGTAATAATCCAGCCCCCCTAACACAATATGAATTTGAGAATAAGCCTAAATGTATAAGCCAAAGGTCGGTGTATTTTTGCTTATGTTATAAAGGAACAGCCTCTACGTTTGAAAGTTATTAAACAACATCGCATGCTGCATTTCAAATAAAGCGCACGCCTGGAACGGCTGTAATCTAGACCTGAACACCGACCGATTGAGTGAGACGGTTCAGATATGGCCAGGCCCAGGCAGCCTTAAAGGAACACTCCACCGTTTTTTTTAAATTGGGGTTATTCACGGTCTCCCCTACAGTTAGATAGGTGGGCAAATGCATGTTTGGAAGCACAGGCGAAGCACTGATACTTGGGCGCAGAGATATCACGCAACACCGGAAATAAAGCTTGCCACAAATAACCGGCGAAAGTAATGATTATGCATGAAACATTTGAATTGTTGATAAAGTTGACGATGCAGACTCGCCATCTGCGCAGTAGTGAACGCGCCTAGAGAGAAATGCACACTTCATAGTGTGCACGCGCCGGCGCCTCCGTGTCCTGCTATATTGTCCACTATATTTGCTTCTTATTTATTAATCCAGGCAAATTTGTTGATGAAACATTGATTAAAATTAAGATACAATTTATACAAAACGAAATTTTCAAGCAAAAATAGTATTCGAAGATCGCTGGGTTGATTATTATTCGAAAATCGCACCCCTCCACCACACACACATGCATTAGGCTACACACCAGAGCATGAGCAAAGCGGAGCGGTGTGACGCTTATTATTAAAAAACTTAAACAAACGTTTCATATTTATAAATAAAATGTTATTATTTTTTTATTTCATCTATCTTGATTATATGAAAAGGGAACCGCATGAGATGAGTAAGATAGGATCATAAGATGACCGGAATATATCGGAAAACATATGGAATGGGTCAGATTTGACCACTTATTTAGTTTTGTTTTGTAGAAAGCCTTTCTTTAAAGTTTATTTAGTTTTTGTATAAATTGTATCTTCATTTTAATCAATGTTTCATCAACAAATTTGCCTGGATTAATAAATAATAGAGTGTAGAGTCTCCGCAACGGCGATAGATAGAAACGCGCGTCCGAGTGAAGATTGCGCAACTCGCGCGGCGCGTCGTCCATGACACTGATAGCGGCGACACGAGCGCTCAGCTGGATTTCAAAAACAACTGATTTTAGCGCTAGATCTCTTATTTAATAGCGAACTAAATGAATGATCTGCTAGTTAACTGGAGATGTTTTATTTATTTGTATTAGGTACATCCGTGCCTCAATGTTTCTAAAAGTGAATGTGTGTGAAACCATAGTAAACAACAATTGGTGTTGATTGACGCCAATCGAGCGTTCATGTTTTTTTCCGTCTATTTGAAAGTTAGGCTAATAATAACATGTTGCATTCTATACGGCCTGATTATGACATTTTTTAAGTTACATAGCCTGCCTCCAGTTTTCCTCAACTTGACCTATTAACAGGCGATATTTGACCGGCATATCATCAAAATGTCCGTTAAACGAAACCTCTGGCGGTCACTTTGACCGGCACCATTTTTTCGAGCGGAAACTCTGATCTGTCCATCATAAAAGTGCATCTATCCATCATAAAAGTGCATCTGTCCATCATAAAAGTGCATCTGTTCATCATAAAAGTGCATCTATCCATCATAAAAGTGCATCTGTCCATCATAAAAGTGCATCTGTTCATCATAAAAGTGCATCTGTCCATCATAAAAGTGCATCTATCCATCATAAAAGTGCATCTGTCCATCATAAAAGTGCATCTGTCCATCATAAAAGTGCATCTATCCATCATAAAAGTGCATCTATCCATCATAAAAGTGCATCTGTCCATCATAAAAGTGCATCTGTCCATCATAAAAGTGCATCTGTCCATCATAAAAGTGCATCTGTCCATCATAAAACATCTACATGCTGAATACATGTCATGTGACGCACCTGGACGGCGTGACAATGTGTCTCATGCACCAGGACGTCTTGTTGCCGCCCAGGTACGAGTTTCTCTGAGTGTCTTCATACGCCACGCCGACGCGAAACTCTGTGTCTTCGTCCACCTCAATCTCCCAGTAATACTGACCTCTGATGGGCACCAGGTCTCCCAGGACCGCCACACACCTGCAACACACACACACACACGTCATGAGCTGCACTGGCCGCATCACACACACACACACACACACACGTCATGAGCGTGAACGACCTGGCGAAGGTGCTGTCGCTGAAGGTCATGTGACTGAGAGGAAGATCTTCATCCAGGTAGAACATGGTGAGGCCGTCAGCCGACAGAGACAGACTGGGATGAGCTGTGTCTTCCAGCAGGTGGAAACACGTGCCTGCACACACACACACACACGTCACAGCTCAGTTGATCTCACACACACACACACACACACACACACACACACACACACGTCACAGCTCAGTTTGTCTCACACACACACACACACACACACGTCACAGCTCAGTTTGTCTCTCTCACACACACACACACACACACACGTCACAGCTCAGTTTGTCTCTCACACACACACACACGTCACAACTCAGTTGATCTCACACACACACACACACACGTCACAGTTCAGTTGGTCTCTCACACACACACACGTCACAACTCAGTTGATCTCACACACACACACACACACACACACGTCACAGCTCAGTTGATCTCACACACAAACACACGCGTCACAGCTCAGTTTGTCTCTCTCACACACACACACACGTCACAGCTCAGTTGGTCTCTCACACACACACGTCACAGCTCATTTGGATTCTCACACACGTCACAGCTCAGTTGGTCTCTCACACACACACGCACGTACGTCACAGCTCAGTTGATCTCACACACAAACACACACGTCACAGCTCAGTTTGTCTCTCTCACACACACACACACGTCACAACTCAGTTGGTCTCTCACACACACACACGTCACAGCTCAGTTGGTCTCTCACACACACACACGTCACAGCTCAGTTGGTCTCTCACACACACACATCACAGCTCAGTTGATCACACACACACACCTGCGGTGGAGATGTCCACAGGTTCGCTCCGGTCACTCGGGCCGCCGGTGTTCACGGCTCTGACGCTGATGATGTAGTGTTTCCAGGGCTGGAGCTGAACCAGACACTCACAGGATGGGATCGCCACAACCGACCTGCCGGAGAAACCACTGCCTTAGGGTAACATCAACCCAAACCCAACCCTAACCCTGCCGGAGAAACCGCTGCCTTAGGGTAACATCAACCCAAACCCAACCCTAACCCTGCCGGAGAAACCGCTGCCTTAGGGTAACATCAACCCAAACCTAACCCAACCCTGTCAGAGAAACAGCTGCCTTAGGGTAACATCAACCCAAACCTAACCCAATCCTGTCAGAGAAACAGCTGCCTTAGGGTAACATCAACCCAAACCTGCCGGAGAAATAGCTGCCTTAGGGTAACATCAACCCAACCCTGCCAGAGAAACCGCTGCCTTAGGGTAACATCAACCCAAACCTGCCGGAGAAATAGCTGCCTTAGGGTAACATCAACCCAAACCTAACCCAATCCTGTCAGAGAAACAGCTGCCTTAGTGTAACATCAACCCAACCCTAACCCAACCCTGTCAGAGAAACAGCTGCCTTAGGGTAACATCAACCCAACCCTGTCAGAGAAACAGCTGCCTTAGGGTAACATCAACCCAACCCTAACCCAACCCTGTCAGAGAAACAGCTGCCTTAGGGTAACATCAACCCAAACCTAACCCAACCCTGTCAAAGAAACAGCTGCCTTAGGGTAACATCAACCCAACCCTGCCGGAGAAATAGCTGCCTTAGGGTAACATCAACCCAAACCTAACCCAACCCTGTCAGAGAAACAGCTGCCTTAGGGTAACATCAACCCAACCCTGTCAGAGAAACAGCTGCCTTAGGGTAACATCAACCCAAACCTAACCCAACCCTGTCAAAGAAACAGCTGCCTTAGGGTAACATCAACCCAACCCTGCCGGAGAAATAGCTGCCTTAGGGTAACATCAACCCAAACCTAACCCAACCCTGTCAGAGAAACAGCTGCCTTAGGGTAACATCCACCCAACCCTGTCAGAGAAACAGCTGCCTTAGGGTAACATCAACCCAAACCTAACCCAACCCTGTCAGAGAAACAGCTGCCTTAGGGTAACATCAACCCAACCCTAACCCAACCCTGTCAGAGAAACAGCTGCCTTAGGGTAACATCAACCCAACCCTAACCCAACTCTGTCAGAGAAACAGCTGCCTTAGGGTAACATCAACCCAACCCTGTCAGAGAAACAGCTGCCTTAGGGTAACATCAACCCAACCCTGTCAGAGAAACAGCTGCCTTAGGGTAACATCAACCCAACCCTAACCCAACCCTGTCAGAGAAACAGCTGCCTTAGGGTAACATCAACCCAACCCTGTCAGAGAAACAGCTGCCTTAGGGTAACATCAACCCAAACCTAACCCAACCCTGTCAGAGAAACAGCTGCCTTAGGGTAACATCAACCCAAACCTAACCCAACCCTGTCAGAGAAACAGCTGCCTTAGGGTAACATCAACCCAAACCTAACCCAACCCTGTCAGAGAAACAGCTGCCTTAGGGTAACATCAACCCAACCCTGTCAGAGAAACAGCTGCCTTAGGGTAACATCAACCCAAACCTAACCCAACCCTGTCAGAGAAACAGCTGCCTTAGGGTAACATCAACCCAAACCTAACCCAATCCTGTCAGAGAAACAGCTGCCTTAGGGTAACATCAACCCAACCCTGTCAGAGAAACAGCTGCCTTAGGCCCCATCCACACTACTGCGTTTTAGTTTAGAAACGGATAATTAAAACGAATACGATCTCCGTCCACACCAGCGCTTTAGCTGCGTATTAGAATTGATCTCCGTCCACATTAAAACGACTGAAAACGCGGATCACGTGACCATTCACCAACACTGGGCATGCGCGTGCAAACACAACTTCATTGATAAAATGATCCCACCATGCTCTGGGTTAACCCCAAACCGACGCTCCATGTACGGTCAACGCCGCCGCTGCACACGGGAATTGTCACAGATCGCTCGAATAATAGCTTGACTCCGGCGCATGTAGGCCGTTATAGCGCTGTAAAATGCAGAATTTACTTGTACAACAGCGGCTAGCAAAGATATACGCCATGATAGACTAGGCAGAATTTCTTAAAATGTGCTTATTTAAAGTGCTGGAGGCATTTTGTGATTATTTATATTGTACAACATTTCTAGGGGTATTAAGGGGTGCTGAATCCAAATCTGCTGTATATGAAGCTCAAAAATTTCCCAAAATGCCTCAAAATTGAGAAATTCAAAATGGCCGCCACCGTCAGGCTGAAATCTATTTTTCAGTATATCTTTTTGACTAAACAAGGTACAAACATGAAATAAATGTGCTTTTGTAAGTTTTGCTACATGGGCATTTCAATGCCATATTCAGATTTGAGATGTAATGTGAAGAAACTGCTTAGATATTGCAAAAATAGTTGTTTTTAACTACGAACTATTATTAACTCATTATTAATTCAGTTATTATTATTAATATTATCAGGCTTCTTTTACTTAGTTTGTATTTTGTTTTGAGGTCAAATGTGTCAAATGTGCTGTAATGCACTCCCCAATATCACCCCACCCCCAAGGGTAGCCTTTCTCACACTTCTCAGAACGGCTGATCGGAAACATAAGACAGCTAACAGGTAAAGTCATGTCCAGTGTATATTTTCATAATGTGACATGTTTTCATAAACATCACAAGGGGATCAATAACGTTTCTATCTATCTATCTATTAAAGCTGGGTAAAAAATATTGATTTCTCGATTTTAATCGATTTTCATTTTTACAAACCGATATCGATTCTTAAATCCCAAGAATCGATTAGTCATCCTGTTTTCAGTTGATGAATGAATGTAGCGCACATCCCATATATAGCAATAATCTTATCTATAATATATCGCAATAATCTTTGTGCTTGTTACTATTGATATTAAACAAAGTCTCAGATTTCAAATTACATCCGTTTAATTACTGGCTCAAAGAGCTAGCTAAATGAATACATATCGATGTGTAGAGGTTCCCAACCTTTTGACTGCTGAGGCCCAAATAAAATTCTGAAAATCTTTCTACAGCCCAACCAAACTTTTTTGTGCAAAAGTGGGTCAGTGCAATTAGCGCGATTAGCACACTAGCGCGATTAGCTAGATAGTAGCTGCATGATTAATCTAATTTTAATCACAATCACGATTTTGGCTTCCCACGATCAAATTCGCGTGATCTAGCGATATTTAATCATTCCGATATCATGATTTGCGTCATTCCGTTAACAGAACGCCCCTTTTCAAAGTTTTTGGGTTTTTTTTGCAAAGCCAATCTAGCGCTCCGTAAACCACTGTCTGATCAGTGCACGAGAGAGACCGAGTGTCCTAGAACGCGCTCGACAGTGCGCTCGAGATATCAAATCAAAGAGACCGATCGAGTGACAGTGCACGAGAGAGTCCGAGTGTGAGCATTAGTAAATTGCATTAGTAAATTGGTAAATACTACATAGTAATATATATAATTACTATATAAGAGGCATGGAAGTTCGATTAATGGACTCCAATAATCAGTAGGCTACTACAAACGTCTTGTTTTGAACTATTGTTTAATAAATAGAAATAATTCGAGCACATGAACTTTCATATGGAGGATTAAATAAGATTCAATTTATGCAGTAAGATCACTGACACTACCACAACCAGATTTTACATTTCTTAAGCATCAAATAACAATGACTCTGAATTTTATGCATTAATCGAACTTCCATAGTGCATAGCTCTGCCTTGAAATTTTCTTATTTGGTTACATTCTGTTATGGAATATTTGTTTTTTATTGATTGTATATTTTGAGTTTTATTCATATCCATTATACAGGTACAATTCAAGTTTATATTTTGCTTCCTAAAATATATTTACACAATGTAAAATGTAAAAAGGGCCCTGTTGAAGTTTTGCTACATTTTCTTTATTGTTTTATTTATTTTTATTTATTCTTTAAGGAGATGCACTGAATTTTGGTGAATAAGACGACCTGTTTTGATGCACATATCTGTACATTAGCAGGAATGTGGCACAATATAGATGTGAAAGCAGTTATAATTAGCCTACAGTATGTGACAATAAATATTTGTTTTGGTTAAAATCAACAAATAATCGTGATAATCAATCGTGATCTCAATATTGATAAAAATAATCGTGATTATCATTTTGGCCATAATCGTGCAGCCCTACTAGATAGCATCAAAGTCAGCAAACTTAACACACTTGCTTTTACACTGACTGATTGGGGGAAAGACTGTTTAAATTTATTGCATTTATTTCATTTAATTTATTTGAATGCAAATCTCTTTGGGTATTGTTCTACTTGAACCATTCAATCCCTTTTAGTAATCCTTCATGATTTTTTTTTTCAATTGAAAGGCCTCCCACGGCCCACCTGCAATACCTCGGCGGCCCATAGGTTGGGAACCACTGTCTTAGACCTGCATTCGTATTCTAAGAAAACTCTTTCTTGTAGGTCTGAATTAGTCAATTGGCGACAAAAACCGGATATTCTGGATCTTGTACATGTGTGGGACCGGTACTCTACACTAGCTAATGAGGCTCAATTAGATATACCATCTAGATTTCTAAGCCGAAGGAACTCCTTCAAGGAACAAATAGCTGATCGTCTTGAGGGCATATACGACTTTGTTGTACTGCATGATCAGCCTCGAAATGAACCTCGTACTGTCTTGGTTCCATCTAAATACCGGCATATTCCAGTATCAACAATGTTGAAAGACGACACCTCCAATATTCATAGAGTTATTCCTACATTCAAACATAAGGATCAAGATATGTTCCTGAACATGGTCCATGTGTCATTGCAGATCCGAAGAGATATGAACTCACATCCAAAACAAGAGGGGATAGACATCAGTGAAAACAGAGCAATAGACAGTATACCCAACAGCCTGTACATGTTCCTCAATTTGTTACTAGGTGGTCAGCGCCTGCTGGAGGATGACGTTGAAGATTATGATAAAAACACAGCCAAACGACAGCTTAGAGTCCTCAGCATTGCACAGGATCTTATGTACACAGCTAGTGGAGACAAGTTCCTCACTCCAAAGCACATAGGACTGGCCAGTACCCTTCATCAAGCTACACGTTCGAAGGAATTGGTGAACATGTTTCACCAGGCAGGTCATGTTATGAGTTACCGTGAGGTAATCAAACTTGACACTGAACTGGCTAAGACAACCTTGGAGACCATGGGGGATGATGGTGCCATTGTTCCACAAAATCTGGTAAAGGGTCGTTTTGTTCATTTCTCAGCGGACAATGTTGACATCAACGAATACACTCTGGACGGAAAAGGGACATTCCATGCCACTCAAGTGGCTGCCTGGCAACGTGGTCCACCTGAAGGTGATCTCCTTGAAGGAGTTGATCTTTACTCCAGGTCAGACACCCTCAACATCCCCAAGGCAATGACTGATATCATACCTGCACCAAAGAGAGGAATTATAGAGCGGCCAATCAGTGGTGTATTAGCAGCAGACTGTTTCACACAGTCATCTGAACAATGTCCCGCAGCACAGAAAGCACAAGCTACAGACATGGCCTTCTTCATGTCCAGGACATCTCAAAAACCAAAGCCTTCCTGGACATTGTATAATCAAAAGGCAAGCACAGTCAACCCAGAGAAAACTACAGTAGGGTATCTACCTATCATCCTGGCTCCTGCATCTGAACTCGATACACTGAACACAGTCGTCAAGCGAGTGCTCCATGTTTCCAATTCAATGGAACAACAGCATGTCATTCTGACAGTGGATGAGGCACTTTATCCGAAGTTGCTAGAACTGAAGTGGTCAGTAGAAGAATACAAGGACGTGCTTATACCTTGCCTTGGAGGCCTTCACATTGCCATGAACTTCCTGGGAGTGATAGGACAACACATGGTTGATTCTGGCCTGAGGGAGCTATGGGTCAAGTGTGATCTTCTGGGAGCAAATGCTGCTCAGCATGTCATGGCAGGAAAGGGGTATGCACGTGCTATGAGGACCCACAAGCTTACCCTGCAGGCTCTTTGGCAACTACTACTCCCACAGCTTTACACATATCTGGATGAGGTTGATGTTACACTGAGAGCTGAACTCGCAGATCTCTGCCAGTCCATAGATGCTGATCACATCGCACAAATGGTCGACAAACTGACCAAAGACCGATTCCAGCAGCCCATGAAAGAGTTTTCTGCATCACTTGCAGTTGATGACCCGAATGCTGCATTCTGGTTGGACTATATGACTATGGTCAGCATCCTACTCTGTTTCACAAGAGCGCAACGTGATGGATTGTGGGATCTCCACCTGTATGCTTTCAAACGTATGCTGCCCTTCTTCTTCAGGTACGATCATATAAACTATGCCAGATGGGGTACTGTGTACCTGGCTGAGATGTCTGCTCTCCCACCAGAAATCCTCCTTGAGTTTCAGAAAGGCAACTTCGTGGTAAAACGCAGTGATCGACGCTTCAATCAGGTTTCAGCGGATCAAAGTACAGAGTGGCTAAACGCAACAGGAAAAAAGAGTGGAGGCCTAGTAGGTATCACCAGGATACCAACATCCCTCAGTAGATGGACACTGTCGTATAATCTGAGAACAGTCGTAGCTTCTCAGACAACAGCGATGCTGAGACTGACAACATATGATGAAGATGATGAGTACACACACACACAGAGTGCACAAATAGTAGCATGGAAAGAGATGATGTGGATGAAAGCAGAATATGTCTATCATTAAAAGACCACGGTGTGTTTCAAGATGGTGGGGACACACTCAAGAACATAATCAACAAGGACGTGGTCACACCCCAGATTCAACAATCTCTGCTTGGTGCAGAACACCTTGGACAGGCACAAATGAAAGTGTTTGTGGACAAACGTCTGTGTGAACCGCCAGATAGTGACCAGCACTTGGATCTGAAGTCACCCATTCGAAAGAACAAAGCCAAAACATTTGCCTCTTTGTATGAAGTCATGCAACTTTCCAAGAACAAGCAAAACATCATCAAAGTGGACAGGCAGATTCTACAAAGGCTCATCACAGCTTACAGAGCAGGTCGCAAGGTAGACCTGGAAAATATTCTCCAGCATGAACTCATGCCCATCCCGCTATCTCTGGCCACAACTAACGGCAGTCTACATTCCACCAACAAATCTGTTTTAGCAAATATACTGACAAAAAATATCGAAACCCCTGCAGATGTGCCCCTTCAGGAACCCTGCTGCTTTCTTATTGATGGCCAAGCACTTGTAATGGCACTTGGGAAGCCACCTGACATCACAACATTCGGCAACTATGCCAACAAGTTTGCTGACACAGTGTTGAAGATGGCAAAGAAGTACCAGAGGGTTGATGTAGTCTTCGACAGGTACCATGACGAATCCATCAAAACAGGCACAAGAAAGAAGCGTAAACAGCGCCACCGACCAGTACGCAGAGAGATCGTGAATGATTCTGTTCCACTTCCAGCAGACTGGTCGAGCTTCATGGCACTGGAAGAGAACAAAGCAGATCTTGCTCGACTACTCTCAAACCATCTGATAGAACACAGCCCAGAATATGAGCCAGTGGTTGTAGTATCAGGTGGGTTTGCTGAAACGACCACTGTCAAGTCATCAGATCCAGAACTTGAAATCTCCTCTCTGAGTGCTGACCATGAGGAGGCTGATACACGACTGATTTTGCACTGCATCCAGGCTCCTATGGACACAATAGTCGTGTCAGCGCGTGACACAGACGTGCTTCTTCTACTTCTAGCACATCATGACAGAATTGGATGTACCCATCTCTACATGAAAGCCGGGACATCAAAGGATCCAAAGTATTTTCCAGTACATGACATTCGCAAGTTACTCTCTGATGATCAAGTGGACACACTCCTTGCCTTCCATGCCATCACTGGCTGTGATAGTGTATCTCAGTTCAGCGGTCACGGAAAGAAAACAGCCTGGCAGGTGTTTGAGCAACATCACACCGATCTTACTGGCCTTGGGAAGGGCCCTCTCACAGAAGATATTGTGAATTCAACTGAGAAATTCATCTGTAAGATATATGGTGTGCCTGAGGTTGATACATGCAACAAAGCAAGAGTGAAGTTGTTTTGCAAAGGTCATCCACAAGAGACTCTGCCTCCAACCTCAGATGCAGTGAAGTTTCATATCATGCGTTCACACTATCAAGCGACAATCTGGAACCAAGCTCACCTGCCACATCCTGATCTTCCTCCAGTGGATGAAATGGGATGGATGCACAAGGAAGGTCAATTAGTGCCACGGCTAATGTCTTTGCCACCTATGCCTAAAGCCTGCAGGGAGTTCACTTCATGTCGGTGTACCAAGGGATGCCTCAGCCAACGCTGCAGCTGCAGGTCTGTGTTTAGGGAATTAGCTGATGTTGATCATTGTGTACAAGAATGTACAAACATGATAGACTGGTAGAGTATTCCAATGTACCTGTACTTGTACTTGTTGTAATCTTTCTATTCAATTCTTCTATTATTCAGAAACAGTCGCATGGAATGTATAGACGCATGCAACTGCAGGAAACTTGACAACACTTGCCAGAACATTGAAGAGGACTATGAATAGGCTGTCACTGTAACTTCTACTGGGATATAGTTCAATTAATATCACCAGGACCCATGGATCTTCCTGCTTTTGGATCTTATTTGATTGACAACTTCTTTATTCACTAATGACCACCTTTTTCTCTATACTTGTTTGATTATCAAGCTGATTATTGACACTTGATCTAAATCAGGACAGGATGTTAAATTCCCCATGTGTGAAAACCTGTGAACATTTAATTAAAGTTTGTAACTTTTTGTATTTGTTTGTACATTTGACCTCAAAACAAAATACAAACTAAGTAAAAGAAGCCTGATAATATTAATAATAATAACTGAATTAATAATGAGTTAATAATAGTTTGTAGTTAAAAACAACTATTTTTGCAATATCTAAGCAGTTTCTTCACATTACATCTCAAATCTGAATATGGCATTGAATTGCCCATGTAGCAAAACTTACAAAAGCACATTTATTTCATGTTTGTACCTTGTTTAGTCAAAAAGATATACTGAAAAATAGATTTCAGCCTGGCGGTGGCGGCCATTTTGAATTTCTCAATTTTGAGGCATTTTGGGAAATCTTTGAGCTTCATATACAGCAGATTTGGATTCAGCACCCCTTAAAACCCTTAGAAATGTTTTACAATATAAATAATCACAAAATGCCTTCGGGGTTCTGATTTTGTGAAAATTGACCCTGTCTATGACTGACGACACCCAATCATAGAGCCGAGTGTGAGCCTCTACTACGCCATTGTTTCTAAAGTCCTCCGTTTTGACCCGTCTACACTAAAACGCCCTCCGGAGATTCAAAACGAAAAACGGTTCGGCAGCGTTTCTAAACTTCTCCGTTTTGGGTCTCCGTTTTTGCCGTTTTAGTGTGGACGGGAGGTCCAAACGTAGCAAAAGGTCTCCGTTTTTAAACGAAGACGCAGTAGTGTGGACGGGGCCTTAGTGTAACATCAAACCCAACTCAAACCCCAACCCAACCCAAACCTGACCTAGAATAGAGACAATGACTTGAGGATGTAAAAAAGATGTTCCAGTAATAGTCCTTTTCTTAAACATATCCGTTGTGACCGGAAGTGAGCAACCCTAGTGTTAAACCTTGCACTGGGATATTTTTGGGGGTCTATTTCTGTACCCGTTCTCATACCTAAACCTACCCTTGGTACTTTGTGGTTCGATTCAATTTAACCCCACACCTACCCTCACCCTAAACTTACCCATTCTATCTAAGCCTGTACCAATCCTCACCCTAAACTAGCCATGGTAGACAACTAGTCAAGACAACTTAGTCAACTAGTCTTTTTAACTCCTGGATTTGACATGGCTGGATCAATTTAGATTTAGATTGTGTGTGTGTGTGTGTGTCACTGACTCCGTCACAGTGTTGCTGCTGTCGGTGTCGCTCTCTCTGAACTCCAGTGTATATGATTCCACAGGGTTTGTGTTTCCAGAGTCCCAGCGGATCAGCGCCGCGTCCAGGCTGCTCACACACTGCCGGGGCCTGATGACGGGAGGAGAGGGAACTGCACACACACACACACACACACACGCTGTCACTCGCGGTCAGAGCAGCAGGACAGTTACACACACACACACACACGTACCCGTCATGTACACGGCTCTCTCGCTGGCCGGGCTGATGCCGGTGGTGTTGGTGGCCGTGACCCACAGCTCGTACTGGGCGTTCGGGAGCAGATCAGACACTGTGCAGTGAGTCTCCTTCACCTTCAGCTGAGACACTGACAAACACACACACACACACATTTATGCATTTGGCAGACGCCTTTATCCAAAGCGACTTGCATTGCATCTCAAGGTACACATTTTAACATTCTTATCAGTTCTTGCTTTCCCTGGGAATCAAACCCAGTTGCAAGCGCCAACGCTCTACTGTTTGAGCTACAGGAAAGTACACACTAATGCACAACTACACTAATACACAACCACAGCTGCAGTGTGTCAGCAGTCCACTGGTCAAATCACAAACAAATACCAACCCTGAACCCTGACCTCAGTCTAGTATTGGCAGAACATCCTGATGGACTGAGCTTTACTGGATCAGATCCATCGTGATCTTTTACCCCTTTTCCACCAAAGCATTTTGAGAGCCGGTTCGGAGCCTACTCGAGAACCAGTTCTTTGTGTTTCGACAGCCAAAGAACCGGTTCTCGGCCAGGAAAATTGGTTCCAAAGCGGCACCAACTCTTTGCTGGACTAGAACCATTCTTTCACCACGTCATGCTTACGTCGGGGGCTGGGGGCGGGTTACTGTGACCAACAACACGACGGGAATGGGAAAGCTAAGACGTATGGCGACGTACACAGTGACGTAACGACGGCGTCCGCTGGGCTCTCTAGTCAGTGGAAAAACAAACAGGTTCTGAGAAGGTTCGCAAGTTGAACCAACTTTGAACCAGCACCAGTTCCGAACCAGTTCTTTTTTGGTGGAAACGAGGTATTTCTGAAGTCTGATCATTTCTCCACAGGTGACCAGTGAAGTGGCGTGCGGTTATGAAGTGGTTTGGGTAATAATGGCGTGTGTTTACCGTCCTGCAGCGGCTCCATGGGGCAGTCGTCCGAGATCAGGCGCCAGTAAAGCTCGTAGAACTCCACAGTGTCGTCGGAGAACAGACTCCAGCACACGTGCAGCGACGTGTCCGTGGCCGAGTTACAGATCTGGGGGTTCATGACCGGAGCTGATGGAGCTGGACACACACACACACACACACACACAGGCTTATGTCCTACAGTATCCTGTGGATCAAAAATATATTCATTTTTGTTCCGAAGATGAACGAAGGTCTTATGTGTTTGGAACGACATGAGTAATTCATGACAGAATTTTCTTGTTTGGGTGAACTATCCCTTTAAGTGAGTGTATGTTTTTAAGCACAATTTGGACATTTTATTTGCATCTTGTTGTTTCCATCCAGCCTTTCTTATACTAAAATTGGCATAAAAAATCTACATGGAAACCCAGCAAATATAAAAGAGCAGTAATGGTGTCTGACCTGGAAGCACGTTTATGGAGTCCATCATCTGTCGGACATCGGACAGATCCGTCGTCGGAACATCAAAGTCCAGAGACACTCCCAGCTTCAGATCCACTTCCTTACTGGAAAACTGCTCAACTCTGATTGGACAGATTATGACAGATAATTCCAGATTGCTTTACTCATCATGTCTGTGTTAACTGTGATGGTCAGGCACGTCACTTATCGCCCACTGTCATTCCAGATGTAGGACGTGCACTTTGAAAGCTCAAAATATGAACTGTTGACATTCATATCTAACGTAGTAATGAATGTCAAGCCTCAAATGTTCCTGGTTTGCACGTGACCAACCGTGACGCGGCAGGTTTGAATATGACGACTTAAGTTTCAGTCTGTTCAGTTCAACGTTAACATCCACTCGTTGTGTGGAAAAGAGCCAGATGAACATTCTGCTACACATCTCCTTTTGTGAAGGCAATGCAGAAATGTTTTATCGCTTCCACTTTGTTATAATACCACTAACAGTTGACCGTGGAATATTTAGTAATGAGGAAACTTCCCGAATGGACGTATTGCACAGGTGGAACCGATCACGGTCCCACGCTTGAGTTCACTGAGCTCCCGAGAGCGACCCGTTCTTTCACAGGTGTGTGTAGAAGCGTCTGCATGCCTAGTGCTGGATTTATACACCTGTGGCCATGGAAGTGATTGGAACACAGGAATTCAATAATACTTATTTGATACAATACTTTTGGCAATATAGTGTAGGTGCAAAGGTATAGGCTACTATGCTACTGTTTACTGTTAACATGTCGAAACAAATGCTGATTTTTGGTGTTATTCTTTTTCTTATTTCTGTTAAGCATCAATAAAAAGAGTTTAACTAAATATCTTTTGTATTCTGCAGAAGAAAGAAGGACTCAGACTGATCTCATGAAATGGCGTATGTATGACACGCCAATTCGTATTTCCATTTTTGGCGTGCTATCAACACGCATAATCGCTTTTCAGCGTGTTTATCAACGCCGTTGACTTAACGTTACATTACTGTATATAAATATATGACCTACCCCAACCCCGTCCCTAAACCTACCCGTCACTGGGGTTAATAATAATAATAAAATAATAATAATATGTTTATTTTATATAGCGCCTTTCAGAGTACTCAAGGTCGCTTTACAATAAAGTACAAATAAACCTGACAGAAACATGACATAGAACAAAAAATGAATTGAGATAGTGGTACATAAACATAGAAATCAAGGGAAACAAGTAGCAAAAAGATACGTTTTTAGGTGAGTTTTGAAATCGTGTAATGATGAAAGGTCGCGGATGTGTTGGGGAATAGAATTCCAGAGAGTTGGGGCAGCAGTACAAAAAGCCCTTCCACCATATGATGATAGTTTGTGCCGTGGGATCGTTAAAAGACCGGTATCGGAGGATCTAAGTGTGCGAACTGGGGAGTAGGTATGGATGAGATCAGAGATATAGGTGGGGGCAAGACCATGGAGTGCTTTGAATGTGATAAGGAGTATCTTGTAGTTAATACGAAAACGTACTGGTAGCCAATGTAGTCTGCGTAAAATCGGAGTAATGTGGGAAGATTTCTTTGTGTATGTAAGGACCCTTGCTGCGGAGTTCTGAATGTATTGGATTTTATTTATAGATGAGTTGGGTAAGCCATAGAAGAGAGAATTGCAGTAATCAAGCCGTGATGTGATGAAAGCATGAACCAAGGTTTCAGCATCGCTGGTGTTCAGAAATGGACGTAAGCGTGCGAGGTAACACTTTATAATAACTGTATGCTATTAATCATTTGTTAAGCATGAGTAAACAGTTAATTCATCATTTATAAAGCATTGATAGACATTAATAAGCAGTTTATAAATACAGCTATAAACGCTTTTTTCCTTGATTTATAAGCATATCTATAATGCGTTTAATAATTGTATTTTCATACTTTGTTAATGATCAATTAATAATTTCTAAATGAAGTATAGGATTATTTATTGAACCAGTTACTTAAGAGTTGTCAGTCATTCATAAGATCACTTAGAAAGTGTAAGTAAATGTAGTAAATACAGGTAGTTATAAAGCATTTAGTAGTGGTCAGTTAACTATTTTGTGAGCTAATCTAAAGTGAGGACTATTCATGCCTTGTAAAGCATTTATAAAGGAGATTTAAAGGCGCATCAATCTTCTAAACAGTGAAATGTAACAAACACTACACAGTGATACAGAACATAGAAATATTTAACAGCCTTTAAATCTCCTTTATAAAAGCTTTACAAGGCATGAATAGTCCTCACTTTAGATGAGCTCACAAACATAGTTAACTGACCACTACTAAATGCTTTATAACTACCCGAATTAACCCTGAATTACAGCATAAATACATGTTAATAAAGCATTTATTAACACACTAAGTAACCATCACTATATGTCTGAATAATAAGATGTATGAATGTACATTTAAATAGTTTTATAATCATTTACTTACACGTTCTAAGTAATCTTATGAACCACTGACAACTCTTAAATAACTGGTTTATAAAAAATGCAATTAATCATTTAGAAATAATAAATTGATCATTAATAAAGGATGAAAATACAATTATTAAATAAATTATAGATATGCTTGTAAATCAAGAAGAAAGCATTTATAGCTGTATTTATAAACTGCTTATTAATGTCTATTAATGCTTTATGAATGATGAATTAACTGTTTACTCATGCTTAACTAATGATTATTAGCGTGTAGTTATTATAAAGTGTTACCGCGTGCGATATTACGAAGGTGAAAGAAGGCAGACTTTGTGAGAGAGGAAATGTGTGGAAGGAAGGAAAGAGATGAATCAAAGATTATACCAAGGTTTTTGACAGTAGTGGAAGGTTGAACCGAAACTCCAGCAATGTGAACATTGTCAACACTGAAACAGGATGTAAATCGAGGTGAGCCAATAAGAAGTAGATCTGTTTTATCAGTGTTGAGTTTGAGAAAATTACTGGTCATCCAAGCATTTATATCATCAATACAGGCTGATATGGAATTTGTGGGAAAAGGAGCATTGCGTTGTGAATGGATGTATAGTTGGGTGTCATCTGCGTAGCAATGGAATTTAAAGTCATGTTGACGGATGATGTTACCTAATGGGAGCATGTAGATGATGAAGAGAAGAGGCCCAAGAACAGAACCCTGGGGAACACCGTGTGGGACAGAGGCAGTAGTGGACTTAGCCTGGCGGATAGAGATGTAATGCTGACGATCAGACAGGTAGGAAGTTAACCAAGATAGGGCAGTTCCAGAAACACCAAGAGCAGAGTCGTGAGATGAGAATACTGTGAGAGATTGTGTCGAATGCAGAGGAAATATCTAGAAGAATTAGAATACTGGTGGAGCCGGAGTCAGTGGCCATAAGGAGATCATTGACAACCCTAAGAAGTGCTGTCTCAGTGCTGTGGAGGGTGCGGAAAGCGGATTGAAAACATTCATAGTGGTTGTTAGATGACATGTGTGTTTGAAGTTGGGCAGCGACCACTTTCTCAAGCAGTTTCGAAAGAAATGGTACATTTGAGATTGGTCTGTAATTGGCCATGTTGGTGGGGTCGAGGCCGGGTTTCTTTAGGACAGGAGTGACAGCAGCAGTTTTTAATTCCAGAGGAACAGAACCAGTACTTAGTAGTTGGGAGATGAGAAGTGAAATCGGCTAAGAAATAACAGGTGCACATTTTTTAAGTAAAGTAGTAGGAGCTGGATCAAGATGACAGGAAGATGTGTTTGCTTTGTTGATTAGCTCAGAGAAATAAGCAGGGGTTGGGGGGGCAAAATCAGTGAGAGTACCAGGAGTAAAAGCAATGGCGAAGTCGTGTGTGTAAACAGGAGAGATCATGGATGGGAAATGATTGTGAATGCTATCAGTTTTATTTAAAAAGAAATGCAGGAATGACTCACAGAGGTCTGCTGAGTTACTAATGACAGGTGCAGGAGGGTTGGTGAGTTTATTGACTACTGAAAACAGTGCTTTAGGTCGAGAGGATGCATTATTGATAATAGTAGAGTAGTAACCAGAGCGTGCAGTGTTTATAGCAGATTTGTACAATTGGATATGGTCAGTGTAAGCAGTAAGGTGAACAGTCAAACCGGTTTTCCTGTAAAGGCGTTCAAGACGACGACCAGCTGTTTTTAGATTGCGAAGAGCAGGGGTATACCAGGGAGATGTGTGTGTAGAAGGTACAACTCTACTTTTAAGAGGGGCATGTGTATCAAGGGCAGTGGAAATACAGGCATTATATTTGGTAAGGATATCAAGAGAGCTAGTGTGTTCAGTAATATCAGAGAGATGAGTTTGTACAGATTCAGAAAACAGTAATGGATTAACAGAATTGAGGTTACGGAAGGTTATAGTAGATTTCACCCTGAGGCGGGGAAGAGGCATTTCACAGTTTAGTCCAACAAGATCCAGTGTGTGACCTTTTGAGTGTGTAGCAAAATCAACATGTTGTACAAGATTGAAACATTCAAATAGTGACAAGAGTTCACGCGATTCTGCACAATCAGTATCAACATGTATGTTGAAATCACCAAGTAATATAACACAAGAGGATAAGGCAGAGGAAAGGGTTAACAGTTCATGCAGTTCACTGAAGAAATTTGAGATAGCTTTAGGTGGACGATACAGGAGAATCAAGATCATTGGAGATGTACCAGAAACTTTGAGAACTAGATATTCAAAAGTTAAAGTCACGTGAAAGTCTATATTTTTGACTGGAATGCTGCTGCGGTGAACAGCAGCCAGGCCACCACCCCTTGATGTCAAACGAGGTTTGGCCAGGTAGCTGTATCCAGAGGGAGTGAGAAGATTTAGGTGGAAATAGTCATTAGGAGTTTGCCATGTTTCAGTGAGGAGCAATAAGTCGAAGTTTTTCTCAGTTAGTAGTGCGCAAAGCACAGTAGCCTTATCTGTGAGGGAACGACAGTTAAACAGCGCAACTGCCGGTTGAAACGCGCAGTCATTGCGTGTATTAGTCAGAGACAGATCACAGGAAACAGTTTTTAATGAGGTAAAATTTATTCCACGGCATGAAGACTCATTAATACCATTTATGAGTCTTCTCCTACCATCCTAGGAAAAGAAATATCGCTCCACAGATGTAGATATAGATTTCGCTCGGACATTTAACGGCGTACACATACACGCGGAATCACTCGGACATGTAATGGCGTAGACATACACGCAAAAGATTTCGGCGTGGACACACACGCGGATAGCTCAAAATGCGTATAGATAACACGCCACTTGGCTTGAAAGTGGCGTGTATGTTTACGCAAAGTCATGATGTCATGTTGCAAAGTCACACTGGTTTGAAACCACATGAACTTGAGTAACTGATGACAGAATGATTATTAGACACGCCACACACTGCATCCACTTACCTCTTCATGATTGGCATGACAGCCTGTCAATCAGAGAGAGAGGGCGGGTCAGAAACTATTGATTATGTGGTTCTGTAATAACCGTGATGATCAGTGCTGATCTCTGACCTGCAGGAAGGCGCGCTGGTCTCGCTGCCGGTGGACGCGCTGCGCGCTCTCGATCAGCTGTTTGGACGCGTCCAAGGTTCGCCCGCAGCGCAGAAGCTCGCCGTACAGACGCTCCAGCGCGCGGTTCTTCTGCTCGTCCAGCGCCGCCGCTCGCGTCTCGTGTCTCTGCGCCAGCGTCTGCAGGACCTCGTTATAATGCTGCTCCAGGTTCTGCTCCTGACGCCCGAAGTTCTCCTGAAAACACACAAGTTGCTAGCCTGGTTAAAACCAGACCATTCTCAGGTGTATCTGAGTTATGGTCTGGCAAAGCGTCATAGACAAATCATTTCCAGAGGGGCGTCACCAACGGACGTCGCGGATAGACCTAAACCCAATCAGAGGGATGGAGGAGATGACGTATGCAGAGCGCCGGAGAAACATGTTGTTCTTTGCTCGGTTTTTAACTAAAAGGAAACGTTCAAATCGCCTAAAACAGACGCGATCGCTGATTGGAACGAGTGATGTTCGACGGCGGCATCCATCTTTGTAATGTAGGCTACAAAATCTGCTTCAAAATCCCAGCGCTGTCGTCATCGTGTAAAGCCCGCCCCAACGCTTCTGATTGGTGCCGCGATTTCGGCGGATTGGAAATGGGCTTGAATGAGCTCTTCGCCAGACTAACTTTCAGAGCAAATCTAAATTTGCCGGAAGTTGTCTAGGTTTTCCCAGGCTAACAAGTTGCGATTTATAAAAACAAACTTGACGGAAAAAACTGAGCGACTGAGTCTGGTTTCTCCCAAGGGTTTTTTCTCCATTCTGTCACCTTTGGCTTTTGTCTTGCTTAGTTGGGGACATTTAATGTAATATTCATCAATATTATTGATCTCCTGCACTGACAGCATTATATGAGAACTGAACTGAGCTGGACGATGACATCACGGTTTTCTCCAGAGCCGATATATATATAAATGAACTAAATTAATAACTTTTTCACAAAAATGAACCATCACTGAACTGACTTAGCTGGACTGTGACGCTATTCTCTTCTAGAAACAACATTTGCATTATTGTCCTGTTATCTCTGTAAAGCTGCTGTGAAACACTCTGTGCTGTTAAAAGCGCTGTAGAAATAAAGCTGACTCGACTCTACACACAGCATCAAACCGCCCGAATGTGTGTGTGTGCGGAACATGACGTCGAGTCACGCACCTCCACCGTGATGAAGATCTCCTCCAGGTTACTGGCGAAGTTCTCCATCTCCACGATCTTCTGGCTCAGCTTACCCCTGCTGTGGGACAGCTCCTCCTGGAAGAGCACACGGTCTCGTCACACACACCTGCACAGGTATGAAGTGTGTGTGGCTGGTTCTCACCTTGATCTGCTCCGCGGCGGGGCCAAGCGCGAGGCGTGTGTGACGCGCGTGCGCTGCGGCGCCGGTGTGTGTGAGGACGTGGCAGTGAGAGCAGAAGGCATCAGGTGTGTGTGAGTCCTGCACCATCACAAACTCTTCCTCATCAGCCTCGTCTTCCTCACTCAGCTCCTCGGCGATCACACACAGACTCCGCGCGTCAAACGCCTCCATCCTGAGCGAGCGAACACACACTTCATGCTCACATTCATACACTCACTTTCAGTTTAATTACAATTCAATTCAAATGAGCTTTATTAGCATGACTGTGTATCACATTGTTGCCAAAGCATTAACATATTATATAAATAAAACAAACAAACAAAACATATCATATCTTATCTTATAACATATCTTCCGCTGAATGTTAATTTGATCATGTTGTGTTTATATTTTATTTTTCATGTGTCTGTGTGTGTGTGTGTACACATTACAAGTAACGCGAGTTTACATAAGCCGGTTACTTTTTTCAAGTAACTAGTAAAAGTAACGCATTGCTTTTAAATTCACAGCAAAATATCTGAGTAACTTTTTCAAATGAGTAACGCAGGTTACTTTAAATGTGAACATGCATTTACTCATCTCTCTCGCACAAAAACAGATTCATATTCCTCAAATGAATATACAAAGACAGTGAAATGCAAACTCAGAATATTATGCAAACCAGCAACAACTAATGTTATGTTACATTACACAAATATACTTCATGCATTAATCTCACTTTAAGCCGCGATGTCTTTGCTGTTGACCTTCAATGATCCAGTTCCAGCCCCGAAATGACGCAGAAAAGTCTCTCTCACTCTCTCACACACACACACACACTCTCTCTCATTCACACACACACACACACACACACACACACACACACACACACACACACGCGACATTGGCAGCCATAAACAAGCCTAACAATAACAGCTTTCTTGCATTAATCTGAAATCGTCAGAGTAATAAAAGCGTCGAGAAGTACCTGCTGTCTCGCGGTGTGTGTTCGGTGTGTTTCAGCTCGGTGTGTGTGTGTGTGTGTGTGTGTGTTTCAGCTCAGAACAGATAAATATAGACTGACGTGTCGAATATCAGCAGGAGCTCAAACCCCTCGCGATATGAATCTCTGTTCACTGAACACACACTCACTGCCGCCGCGACGCATCCATCATCATCATATAATAATGACGCCGGGCTTTAAATTATTCATCACTGCATAAAATGAAAACTTAGATGTAATGTTTATATGTTAATCAAATATATTTATATTATAAAACGCCAAAATAGACTGTATTAGACTTTAATTTTGACACATTCAATTTATGTTCTAATATTTACAAAAAGAATGTGAACCTGACAAATGCTCATTACACTGTTATTCGGATCAATCTGGCAAAACTTGTGAAATTAGTTTTGTCAAATTGTTCCATTTATTTTTACCTATAAAGGCTTTACAGGAAATTTAAGAAAGTATCATTTCTCGTTACTGAATATGAATTGTTACAGAATGAGTGTGAATCAGCAGGTCTATAATCTCATATAAACATCAGCAAGGCTTTCATCAGACACAGAAATATAATTTAAAGACACACATTTGCCTCAGTCTGTTTTCAGAATGCTATCTTTTGTTTTATGTATTTCTATATTGTTTTGGATTTCTGTGTGTTTATCGTTATAATGTTCAAGATGAAATGATGATGTGTGTGGGGTTCCACAGGGCTCTATACTGGGACCAACTTTATTTTCCCTTTATATGCTCCTTCTAGGTTTGATTTTTGAGAAATTTGGGATTCAGTATCATCTGTATGCGGATGAAACATGGGCATGAATGTGCCATTCAGTCTCTTCATGCATGTTTGGCCGAAGTTAAGTGTTGGCTTGCGAATAACTTTCTCCAATTAAATGAGGATAAGACCGAGATGATTTTATTTGTAAATAAGGGCTGTGTGGATGATGACTGCCTGTGGTTGGTTCCCGGGAAGAAACTGTCTAGCGGGAGGAACCTTGGTGTCATTTTTGACTCTGAGCTTAAATTTGACCGGCAAATCAATGCTGTCGTTAAGAATAGTTTTTTCCATCTTAGATCAATGTCTAAATCTATCCTTTCTTTTAACGATATGGAGAAGGTTGTTCATGCCTTTGTATCATCACGTTTGGATTATTGTAATGTGTTGTATCTGGGTGTGAGTCAGGCCTCTCTCTCCCGTTTGCAGCTCGTTCAGAACTCAGCTGCCAGACTTTTAACGGGCACTAAGAAGAGAGAGCACATTACTCCGGTGTTAATTAAATTACATTGGTTACCCATACGTTACAGAATTCAATACAAGGCGTTGTTGTATGTTTTTAAGTCTCTGCATGGCCTAGCACCTGAGTGTGTTACTGATTTAATCAGCCGCTGTCAATCCA